AGGTTTGAAACCGGGGCCCATTACCAAAAAGAATGGGGACATTTCGTGAAAATTAGGATCATATTCATAGTCTTTCCCAGTGCCCACTTTGGAAACAGATTTTGCAATCACCTAACTTTGATTTGCATTCACAATAACGGGAGCAATACGGCCATTCTGAGATCAGGAAAGATGATTTGGCAAATTTTCTTTGAGAAAAACTGCCATGCCCAAGTATTTACCAATTATCATGCTCAAAATGTCTACCGTAGTGAACCCTGATCTCGGCCACAGCCTCCAAACAACGCGAACTTCATTACCACGACTGAAGCACATGTGGTCTGATATATAGTGATTCATCACAATCACCCTGTCAGTACTCGTCTCGGACATCCCTTGGTCATTTGATACGGTCATGTTTAAAGAGTCTCTAAGATATGTTGGGATTAGTTTTGGACAGCAAATACTCCATGTCCTGATTGATTTCACTGATTACTTTTTCGATGAGAACCGCTCTGATAACGGAGAGAGGCTTCTCACATTGTGCGAAGACAACCATCTATTTCTCTCGAGCACTAACTTCAGGCGTAAGAAGAAGCGTTCCGCAACGTGGCGTCCTCCTTCGTCAACGTAACTGTGGGCTCAAATTAATCACATTTTAATCAGCTTCAGATGGTGTGGCAGTGTATTGGACTCCAGGTCCTTTTGGTCCACCTTCGTTGACTCAGATCATGCACTGGTCTGCGCGAAAATGTGTTTTGGGGTTCCCGAAGCACGAAGCATCGTAATATTGATGTAAACAGACTGATTCCTCTGTCCAGGCGAGCTACCAGTCTTCACTGGCATATGCATTCAGTTGCAATTCACCGCAAGACGTGGAGCAACACTGGACTTGTATACAGAAGGCAATGACCATTTCCGGACAGTCATGCTGCGACCTAGATCGACGCACCTTAAAGGTTTGGATCTGCTCGTTCTCTGGAGCTGTTCGAACGCCGCAAAGATATCCTGGCGGAATCAGATTGCAACGATCGGAACCGTTCTGCCAACCGGCTGCTCAGGCAAAGCCTACGCAAGGATCGCGAGGCATGGTGGTCTGAGCGTGCTTTAGAGATGGAGACCGCTGCCCTCTCTGGCAACACTCGTAAGCTTTTCCAACTCATTCGGTCCACTGGCCTCAGAAAGCCTGGTGTCAGTGAGGTTATTTGCGAGGTGGATGAGTCTCCGATCATCAACCAACAGAGGTGTATGGACCGCTGGGCCGAGCACTTTCCCCGTAATTCAACTTACCTTCACTATCCATCAGTACATGCAGTACACCTTGTTGTCCACACTGGTTCGTCCCACTGCATCTTTCCAGTGAAGCGGGAGTCTGCCTCAAGATTCGACGCTTGAAGTGCTTCAAAGCTGCCGGCTCAGAGGGACTTCCTTTGGAGCTGTTTAAGTGCGGTGGTGTGGCGATCATTAAGCAGCTGACCACGCTATTTGCAAAAATCTGGCATGGAGAGAAAGTGTCTTCCTCTTGGGGTGAATCAGTTCTTGTCCCGCTTTTCAAGAAAGGCTCCCACACTTCATGTGTAAATCATCGCGGGATTAGTCTTATTTCGCTTGCCTTCAAGCTATTGGCATGCATTCTGCTCCGTGGACTATCCCCAATACGTGAATCATCTTACCGTAATGAAGAAGCTAGTTTCCGTCCCGGCCGCGGATGCGCGGATCAAATCTTCACGCTCCGCCAGTTCCTCAAACATCGCCACATTTATCACAGGCTCACTATCGTTGCATTCCTAGACATACGTGCCGCTTTTGACTCCGTTGATCGACCTGCTTTATGGCCTTGCTTGCTAAAGAACGCAGTGCCAGAGAAGTATACCGCCATCTTACGAGCACTTTGTCGGCCCGTAGCCTAAAGGTAACGAGCTTGGCTCGTCACCTTGCGGTGCGGGTTCGAATCCGCGTAGGGGTGGGCGTCCTTGTGGTATACTCAGCCCACGTGTGATTGGTGATGATCGCACGGCAGCGACGCGCCGTTGCGGCGTGCAGATGACACATTATTACTTACGAGCACTTTACCTTCATACATCCGGCAGAGGGACGGTCTACGGCAAACTTTCCTCGCAATTCGCTGTCAATAGCGATATACGACAGGGTTGCCCTATGTCCCCATTCCTCTCCAACTTCGCACACGAAGACGTTCTGTCGAATGCTCCAGAAGGTTTCCAACATTATGGCCCAGAGTTTCTACCGGGTGAACACGCGATTATGCTGATGATATCGCCTTACTTGGTGCCGACTCTCAAGGTATGCAACTCATTCTGGATCGTTTGGCGGTTGAAGTATCTACTTATGGCATGGGCTTCGCCCCATCAAAGTGTAAAGTACTGCTCAAGGATTGGCTTACACCTGCTCCCGTGCTCACTGTTGAAGGTGCACAACTTGAACATCTAGATACTTTAGTCTACTTTGGGGGCTGCGTTTCTGATGACTACACTATCAGCAAAGTAGTTTCTGTTCGCATCACTAAAGCTCGATCAGCATTTGTCAATCTGAGGCACCTGTAGCGTCTCAATCGCGCTAAAGGGCCGCGTTTACAGCGCATCTGTTCGCTCAGTGTTGTTGTGTGGGAGCGAAGCTGGCCGATTCGCGTGGAAGAATTGCGACGTCTTTTTGCCTTCGATAACGGTTGCTTAAGGAGGATTGCTCATGTTTGGTGGCAACATCGAGTTAACAGTAATGACGTTCGACGTCGCATCTTGGGGAATGCGCGTTTTCCCTTCAACAAACTGGTTTTGCTGCGCTAATTGAGATGGCTCGGTCGCGTTCTGCGCATGGCACGTGAGCGTCTACCGCGTCGCGTTCTATTCGCTCGTCAAGGACCTGGCTGGAGGCGACCGCGTGGTGGTCAGCCTTCCACATGACGACAGCACATGAAATTGCTGACGTCGTGTCTAGCCGCTGTTGGATCCGTACGTCTTTCAGGATGGGGACCAAAAAATAAGGAGTACGTATGGTTTAATACTCTTGAAGACATATCCTGTAACCGGATTAAGTGGAATAATTGTGTACAGAATTGTCTTAATTCGCAAGTTTAATACTTCAAACATTGAAAATCACAAAAAAGAGAGAAATCGACGTGTGGAAAGCATGCGAAAAATGTTTTGTTCGACTTTTTGTCAAAATGTTCCTTTCTTCCTGCGGCATATTGCCGAAGTGTGTTGCTCACGTTCAAATACTATGCCACGATGCTTATGACGCGGTGACTTTCCCTTATCCGCTGATCTCCATGATTTTTTGTTGGCTCTGTGTCTAATTGCTAGACTGTTGAGATTACATATTACTTTCGCAACTTCAAAGGAATATCGTCCAGTATTGTGACCCTGTGCATCCGGTTCATGGTGGTAAAGAAGGGCCAGTGTAAGGTTATCCCGTTCCAACCAGTGAATGACATTGTTTATTGAATCTCAGCGAATAAGATAGGCTGAATTCCGGATAGTATATAGATGAAAGCTTCCCTTTACTTTAATTAATGCTACCAGGCCGAGAAGTAACACCACTTTCATTATCATTGCATTGATTTGTTTTCCATATTGATTCAGCATCAACGTCGAACCACCATGGCTGTTGGATTTTTCAGAGAAAACATCGTTCAGCATCGGATCGTAGAATGGGTTATCGTCAATGTCATGGCTCTCTTCCTACGACCCGGTGACCGTTGAAAAATGGTTCGGGGTCGTGTGAGTAACAAATTCATTTTCTACTCATGAAACGAATAGCCCAGATGTCTAAACTTTTTCGAATCCGGAAGTAGTAGTTCCCTTAGTCTTCACAATGTCAAGGTAGTCACGGCGAATTCCGTCAAGGGAAAAAAACAAGTTTATTTATTGAGATGGAGCCAGAACATTCCTACACTATAAACCAACGATTCTACTCCCATATGAATAGAAGAAGGACACTATTCCTCAGAAGCGCTGACAAACAACCCGAGATCATGTTTACAGGATGCAATTTGCGTCCGATCAAGAATTCATATGTATTATATGTCTAATAGTAATGTAATATGCGTCCGGTCTAGGATTCCGACTTCGTCTGCATTAAGTGCGTAAATGAAGTCGCAGTAGAACTATGGAGCGCGCACTACTATGCACGGCAGAGAACCGTATAGGTGTGCGCGTTGTTGACGAAACGGCTATCCAGAGTTTCTCCGGACGGTGGTGTAAGACTGAGTCTAGCTGTGCCCAAATTGCTTTCAAATCGTCTAATTATACGGAAGCAGCCCTACCTCTAGTATATATCCCTTACCCCACACAATACGGATGACTCATTCATCTAGTGTTCAGCATCATTTACCTTTGATCCGTTACTACTTTAGTCTTCGCCGAATAGCAAGGCTATTTGCTGCAGATCTTTGGTCTGCATTTAGTTACTATCAGTCTCGTTACTTTTGTGATCACGTCGAGTGATGTTTTGGCCATTGGTGAGACTACGCTAGAGTTTCTCGGTGGTTAGCTCATCGTCCAAACCTTCACGCTCATGGTATGTCCTGCTGGCGTTTAGGACTCCAATCATTATGTCACCATTTCAACGGAGCAATAACAACCTACATTTCGGCCAAATAGTCTAAATTCCGTGTACTTCGTGTGTTCTCATCAGCCGGTGATAAGAATACACGAACTACCCTGAATTCCCTTTATTTCGCTAAAATGTTCATTGTTCTTGCTCTGTTGAAATTCTTGAAATGAACTAATTGTATTGCAATATCTTACTGTCCTCCTTCCATTTGCATGTAGTTTTTTCTCACACTGTCTTTTTCTCGGCATCAGCGGCAAGTGTTTCACTGAATCACGATAGTCTTTTACGAGTGCACCTCTCAAGTGCTTTGCTAACTCCAACGATGATTGTTTGGCAAAAAAAACTGTTGGAGTTGACCATTCGGAACTGGGCAAGCACCGAATTTGTGGTATTACACCCATTTTGTGGTTTATCATTTTAAGTTCCATTTTATCCTCACTTCTTTACCCAAGGTTTTCCTCCGGGTGTAGTCAATATCCTACCAGGCTACGGAGAGACGGCCGGAGCCTCACTGGCTGTGCATCCCGACGTTCGCGTTGTGACGTTCACGGGGAGCACTGAGGTCGGTCAACTCATCATGAAGGCCGCCGCATCAAATGTGAAACATGTCAAATTGGAACTCGGTGGCAAGTCACCTCTGGTCATTTTCGCCGATGCCAACTGTAAGTTTGCACAACCTGAATCCAGTTTTCGACCGTTTTGGTCATTTTACCAGCTGTCACTCGGTTTTACAGATTTGATAACTCTGGTTAGTGTTTCGACCCCCTGTTTTTAATGATTCGGCTTGCCAGGTTCGTGCATTTGCTTCGGATGGCATGCTTCTATCATTAGTGTACATTTCTTGGCTATGCTATCATTCATACATATTAAAAAGCGTAGTGATTGTAGCTGCTGTGGGTCACAATGGCTGTGGGAAAGACGTTTGTTATTGTAACCAGTCCGGTCATCTTAATGCGTTGCCACATTGTGATCGGCCTTAATTTACACGGCGCTCACAATCTAAGTGCGTCTAAAAGTTAGCCATTGATCTCCAACTTCATGAACGGTAACATTTCAAACCTGCTTGGGCTAAATACTTGGATAAGCAGCGGCAGCCGTCTGTGTATGGCACATGGGCCACCCAACCGATTGTTCTGGAAAATCCAATGCATTTCCTAGTTGATAGTCGGGTTATTCAGACGTTTATCAAGGCACTAGACATTTGAATGGTGACGCCGTATTTCTCTATCATTCACTTTCGTGAATCCCATACTTCTAGGCATAACTACATTTTTCTATTATTAACGGCATCATGAACCTAGCCTAGGTCATTGCTGTGGTCTACTTGTACGAATGAACTGCTTATTCTTCAAACTGCTTTTCAGCGGTGGCACAGATAGTCCTTTGGTATAGCCGAGTGGCTCTTGGCATCCCCACTTCTTCATAGTGATCCTGTGGTGCACTACTAATGAGTAGCATGATGAAACGAGCGGGCGCGATGAACTCAGCGAATAATGGATCACCGCGGACGACGGGCGCGTAGTGCACAATTCAACCAGCCCTGAAAATGGATGGTGCTGTAGCGTTGAACTTATACCGTACCGTCACTTTAAGCCAGGTCGATAGCGCCAGGCGCAGCGTGAAATCAAATGGCACCACGAATGATATGTGTAAATGAGTCCGACTGTTCTGTTTGAAATGTTATATCATGGATAAGTTCGTTCTTCAATACACAACTTGTTCACACCGCCCTGCCTTCTCCACAATACTACTATCCGAATCTCTTTCTCCATCGTGTCCTCATAGCGATGAAGCCCAACAACTTTCACATTGCTTGTTGAGTGAGCAATGATTGAACCGCGTGTCAGGTACGCTCATTACATTTCCCCCGAATGCACTCATACAAAACTTTCCAGCCTTTGCTCACCGTGAATTTCATTCGTCATTGTTCCATCATCACGTGTCCAAATTAGAATATCTAAGCTGGCAAAAATACGTGACGAGAAAGATATAGGACACTATCACTACTGGTTCTCTGCCAATTTTATCCAGTTCGCCTGCGCTGGTATGGTAGTTGGTTGACCATACCTATCTAGGTGTACCTCGTTCCATCAAGAGTAATGTTTATTTACTAGAAAAACTCCACCTGTTTAGTTAAGGACATGTGCGTCCTTTTGTATCTTACCTGTTCCCACGACTGCATACGTGAGTAATACACAGATACCTTCATAGGTTTCACATCAAGTGAGCATTCTACTCTCACCAGTCGCCCTTTCCTACCGATACCCTGTCACATAGTCCCGCTTTCTCTCCATCTTGTCAAGTTGAGGAAGCTGCTCAGACAGCTCACGAAGCCACCATGACCAACCATGGACAGTGTTGTGTCGCGGCGACGCGCACTTTTGTTGAGGCCCCTATTTATGACAAAATGGTGAAACGATTGAAGGAGCTGGCTGAGAAACGGAAGGTCGGCGACCCCTTTGCAGGTGACACTATTCAAGGCCCTCAGGTTCGTTGCACATTGATTACGATTTCTCATATGTTGCCCCTCTCCATGACGAGTTGTTGTCCTTCATGTGCAGTTTGGCTGCACCGAGTTGCACTTTAACACTTTTCTTAACCTGGACCAATGGTATTCCGGTTTCTTTGATTTGCTCAGTTCTATTATTCTGATGCATATCCCTTGTCAATTTCGCGTTTTTATTTTTTTCAACTTCTATCTTGGTTGTTTGATATCCGTGACGTTGCTGCGCTTGAGCTGAATGTTGACAAGGTGCCCACCTATCCAACACCATCCACCTCGAGTACTGGTTTCAGGAGACTGCTAGTCTTTGCTGAGGGGACAGGGTACACGGTCCTCGTGGCCGTGCTAGGCTCCAAGTGTAGTTGTATTCGGTGTGGAACGGACTATGGTCCAGCTACCGCATTGTGTACACCCGATAGACATGATTTCCAAATTAGATGGACAGGAATGCTGCTACTGTGCATGTTGAAGGAGTGTGGGCCGGCTCCGTTGATGAAATGTGACTTCCATCCAGACGCCGTCCGGCCTTATTCCTTCGGGTTTACACTGTATATGATGTGTGTGAGTGGTACCGCGCAAGCCACCCATGGTCTCTCTGTAGGTGCAGACGTAGTGTGGCTGTCCAATGGAGCTGGCAATGACAAGTAGGTCCGGAACCAGATGCCGCCAACCATGTGGATAAACTTTCCTTCTTACGTCCCAACCACCTTGGCTTTTCGTCCCCCTCGCTGAAGCAGCCTGATCGTTAGCTGCCTCAGCCTTTCCCGACTATTCTCGGGATGTAGGCCCTCGCAATTTAAAGCCTTTTGAAGTGGCCGTGTCTGATGTAATGCCACCAAGAAAGGGGAGAGTAATATACCTTACTCTCCGCTTGTGTATTGGCTGATGTCGTGTTCCTCCGATAGTCGTGTAAAGCCTTCGCCTTGCACGTGTAGGGAGAACTCGAGCTGTGCCTCAATGTCGAAATGTTTTCGTAGCAGCATTGTCCTGTGAAATGTGTCTGGGCATTCAGTGGACATGGAGTTCACTCACTCCCTTCAAGAGGAGGAACTCAGCTATTTGTGACCCAAGCTGAGTGCCACTGCCTTCGAAAGTGTCGCTCAGCACTAGAAGCTCCGCCCTGTAAACATTTGATGGCCCTAGCGGTTTCTAGCGAGGAGTCTCTTGGTAAACATAAAATGCTCAGTAAGTTTACATTCTTTGTTAGATATATCACGTTTTAGAAATCCTGAATTGCACTTAAGCAAGTTAGAAAAGCATACTTTTAGAAATGTTTGCGAGAAATCTTTTAATGTATTGAGTAGATAATCTCTCGTTTTTTGACGCGAAATCTTCACTCCGCCAACTGAACCAGTCTAGAATTGGTGCCACATTTCAAATCGAACGAGGACGGTAATCACGATAACAAAGATACTAGCCATAGAGTTATCATAACTATATTTCTGGACGACAATCTACTGGTGCATTTAGGGCAGCAGGTTTTTGGGTGGTTCCCGTTAACTGGTATATCTTTTTTATGTTGATACAAAATGTCGTCGATCTTCGCTGTCAAACCGAATTCATACATCGACCCTCAGAAAACTGGTCGGGTTATGCGTACCCATCACTCACTTGACTGCCCCTCGTTCTCTATTCTATCCGCGCAGCTGTTGGCTCTGACGCTTTCTGTCACTTCTGCAATCAACTTCAGGATTGTTGTTCCTGGACCCTTATGAATGGCCTCAGCATCAGTGGTGTGCATTTGTTGGCTAGGCTCTTATTCCTAACTGCAATTAGCGGCCTCCGGTTGGTTCTTTCCTGTCTGTGTTAACAAGTTTATTTCTTGTTACCTTTCTCCTGGTCTTGGAATTATTTCGTGGAAATTACAATTGCATTCAGCTTTATTCTTAATTCTGGATTTTTCGACCATAAAGTATTGTTTAATTTCTATCGCTTTGTGCTCCACAATGCGCTCTCGGATTATTCGTAATGCTAAAACAATCACCTTGCGCTGCCTGATCCAAGGATGCTGGAAGTCAATCAAATGCACTCACATTTGTTATGTGTAATATTAACTTCCACATTTCATGCATTGGACTATTGACTGAACCTTTTCGGCGTTTTCGTGAAATCCAGCATGGTTTCGTTCAGATTTTGCGTAAGAATTGCAGAAGCGAGAAGCAGTTGAAGGAAGTAGAAAAGAGTCAAAAATCGACTGGTAGCCTAAATTATTCCGCTGCGAGCAGCTCCGTGCGTTTGGCCCAACAAGCTAGCCCGAACCGCCTCCAGCTTTCAGATAAGCTTTCCTTCGCTTCGCGTGCAAGTTCACCGGCACGAAGTCCCGCGGTTGCGCGCAGCCCAGCTTCACCTGATACGAACCTTTTGCCTGTGTTTACCCTACGGACACAGATGTCCCAGTGTGTGAAAGTTTGTGTACTGAAGGCACGTGGAAAGTACAAGGAAAGAAAAAGCGGACAAACGAAAGGATTTCAGCCGCTGCAAATCAACGGCGGTCCAAACCACCTGCAGCTCGGAAAAATCCTCCTTCTGCAAGATTAACTTTGGCTGACCGTAAGCATTGGCTGTCAATCGTTTTGGGCCATACTTTGCTCCATCGAAATGCAAAATACTTCTTCAAGATTGGCAGGGATCCACCCCTGCACTGATACTTGGTGGTGATCAGCTAGAAGTCGTCCAGGAATTCAAGTACCTGGGCAACTATATTAGCGCCCGTGGGATCGGAGATGAGGTTACGTACCCTATAGCAAAGCTCGAGGTGTTTTTGCAAATCTCCGCCACCTGTGACGCAGACGCGACATTACTGTTGCCATGAAGGGCGGAGTCTACAACGCAGCCGTCCGTTCAACCCTCCTGTACGGTTGTGAAACCTGGCCCATCAGGTCGACAGACATAAAGAGGCTCGTCACATTCGATCATCGCTGCCTTCGTAGCTTAGCTCATATCAGGTGGAAGCACCGCGTGAGCAATGAGCGTGTTTGGCGTCGCGTATTTGGTGCAGGAAGTGCGAGTGAACCGCTCAGCACCATTATATCACGCACCAGGCTCCGATGGCTGGGCCACGTGTTGCGCATGCCAGCACACCAACTCCCGCGACCTGCATTGTTTGCGCACCGGGCGTGCGGTTGGAAGAGGAGGAGAGCGGGCCAAGCCATGACTTGGTCGAGAGAAATGAAAACCCTCACTTCGAAATTGGCGTCGGTTGTTGCATCCCGACTGCCTGGCTGGGGTCCTAAGGACGGTAAACACTTTTGGTTGAACACACTTGCAAATAGGGCTAGGAGCCGACCCCATTGGCATTTGTGTTGGGAGTTCCTTTGTCCATCCGCCTCCTGCTTAGCCTCCCCCTCCAATCACGATCTCATTCGCTAGGCATAATGTAACTCTTTATGGCACGATAGCCGGCTGTTAAATCTCCGGAACGATGTCCGTCCGTTACAGGGGACTCAGCCGGCATGCCACTGTTGTATTTTTTCTTCTTGATGATGATGATGATGGTGGTGGTGGTGATGATGATGACCATAAGCATTTTAACGTGATCTTCCACGCGCCTGGGTCCAGTGATCCAACTCCTCAGATGCGCTACCATCATGGCGTCGTCATTTTACCTAGCCTAATTGATAGACTCCTCTACTTGGAGGAGGACGGGTTGAAAGTGAGGCAGATTACCCTTCTTCGAAAGTAAGATTATCAACAAAGTCGACCATTGAGAATCATCTGTGGACGAGGTCATTCCGAAGCGGATCTTATCCCGCTTAAATAGTCTAATGGTTTAAAGATCCATGTTCGTCCATGCTTGAATACAGTGAATCGAGAATGACTCAATTCTGCTATCATTGAGGTGAAGAGACGAAACAGTGATGGGGAAACAAATCTCCGTACCCTAGATTTTCGGGTCGTTTCCAAGACTCCACAAAGCAGGATAAGCAGGTTGATCACACTGCAAGCACGCCTGGTTGTTTCTGCTGCGGCTTGTGTGTAACCTTCATCAGCGTTTGCAGTCTTATGAACGATCGTGAAGAACTCAGTCGTTTCGTTGCATTTGTGCGGTCAGATGTAGTGCGACTCGCAGAGATGTGGCTGAATTCTGAGGTGCTTTCCCAGGAAATCGATCTCAATGCTTATTCCTGCTTTTGCTGCGATAGACTATCAACTGCCCGCCGTGGCGTCTTGCTCTACATCCGGCCTTCCCTGTGAGTTGTGGGTGTCTACAGAACCGATGATGGCCAGTGTGAGCAGCTGTGGTGCTCGGTCTACCTCAGGCGCCAGGAAGTTGCTCGTGGATACGTTGTGTCGCAGTCCCCTCAGTCGTTGTTTGGATTGGCTGCTGCATTTCTGGAACCACATGAGTCGTCCCCATTTTCTAATCATGGGTGATTTCAGCTGTCCTTAAGTGCACTGATCTGAAGTTCCACTCTTGCCCGGATCTTGTAAAATCGAAACAAAGTTCATGAACCTAAAACCTGAAAGTGGTGTAGCACAACACATGTCGGCCAACACGAATAACCCCGCGCTCAACTCCATCGTGCCTAGACTTGATGTTAAGAACCTGTGAAAAACGCGTGAATGACTTTCAAATTTTAGAGCCCATAGCACCCAGCGATCACTTAGTGCTCACGGCCAGTATGAATCTATATTTACCCTTATTCTCCTCCGCTAGAGCCAGCTTGCAACTACTACAAAACTGACTTCGACGATCTAACTCGAGCCGCGAGCCAAGTGAATTGGTCTCTACCGCAAGCTATATCTGTGGAAGGCTGTTAAAATGCTACAAAAGAGAGTATGACATTACTCTGTTCTCAATTTGTACCACTGTGATGTCAGAAACTTGAATTACTCAAGCCACATTGATTCGACAAGGAGTAAAGTAAAACGGCTCGACGATGACGCGAATTGTGAAACTAATTCCTCATCTCTGGTTCTTCCAATGACTACGAGGCTGCGGACTATTTGCAATGGTTCAAAAACTAGAAAACGCCGCCATTTCGAACAGCAGCTCGCAACCGTTGCAAAGGCCACCACGAAGGAAATCTTTGCTTATGTTAGACTGCGCCTTAAGCCGACAGGTGATCTGCCAATGTTATAGTGCTCGGACATACAGACCATAAACTCCAGCACGTCGTGTGTCCGCTTTTGCGGCGCGTCTCTCTTCCGCGTTTGCAAATGACCAGGTGTTTGTACAGAGTTCGACGTGTGCCGCGCTTACCGAACTCGACAGTTTGGTTTGAGGTCTTGACGGCACTGAACTTAGTAGCCCCGTGCTTCGAACTGATAGTAGTAAATGTTTGGAACAGTTAGTCAGAACAAATCGTGCAGACCAAATCTGTGCAGCAGTTCAAAACTTTGTTGGATTCACATTTCATCACCATTCGATTCAAAGAACGATTGCACACTGGCAATGACATCTCATATTTGTGAGCTCAGCGAAACTGTGAGTCAAACATTTATGATTTGAAGTACGCTTAGATTGTCACAGGTGACAGATGACTTTTATAACATGTTTGATTATATTACGATAGAGTTGTATAGCGTTAAACTTCTACTTACTCCCACAACACAGTATACAGCACTCCGTGTTCCTCCTGATCGATCTGATGCCCCATGTCTAGCACACTCACTGTTAAGGCCGTTTTTAACCTTACTTCTTATTCAAATTTGCTCCTCGGCGGTTGTGTCCGTGTACATAGCTCTCTCGTGGTTTGACCTATGTGTACGTGTGCATGATCTTTACAATCGACTGTCCTATTTCCGGAAATGAGCTCTGAACATCGTGCTTGCTCCCACCGGGAGATCGCCGTTACTTTCTCGCTGTAAGTTTAACACTTCCTCTCAGTGCTGTCCTACTTAACTGTCTAGCAGTTTACCCGTCACTTCTTTCTGCGCAGCTTACTTGTCCTTTTGCATCATGCACAGGGCTGGAGCTCTTTAAAACAGTGATGAGGCTATCCCAGTGTGAGCGTGCTTCAGGTAATCGGAATAACATGAGGCACCTCGTCGGTACCTGTCGGTTCGCGACATCTTATCACTTTCAACGTTCCTCAATTTCTGTGAGCTAGGCGGTTGCTGAATTCTATTGTACCCCAACGAGGCCCTAACGTCATAATAAACTACTCGTTCACCAATTGAATTTAAGCTACTCATCGAAGTTCTATATGTATAGGTGTGTGGGATATTGGTAATCCCATGACTAGACTCTGTCTCCGGGTGCACAGCTTCGACTGGAAACGAGGTAGAACATGTTACGACGCTGTCGTACCTTTGACTGCCTAGTCAAATCTAGTTTTCGCCACCTCATTCAAACTACTTTTCTCAGTCCGACAGCATCGTACCATTCGCAACACCCCTGTTCTGGGTATTTCGGTAAATGGTGAAGTAACCTTGAGCTGCACTATTATGAAGTCAGCCAGTGAGTCTTAATATCCTTCCAGCAAACTCCATTTCTTTACTACCGTACTGGCTGGTCATACCAAAGGTTGCAATAACCTTGTCAGATATCTTGATGTGTGAGCCCGTGTTGGAACGTCGGATTTAGGTATATTTAGTTGACCACTGACCCTTAACAGTGCAGTCGACTTCGGGACTAGGTTGTACAACTTATCCACTCTTAAATTGTCCTATACAATTCTTTATTGGCTACGGACCTCTGTTCCAGTTTTATTCATCGTCTTCGTTACGGTTTTACTTTTCAGTCACTTCCAAATATCGTTCTAGCTTTTTTCTCAAATAAACTAATTTATTCATTCCAGGTCGATGAAACTCAGTTCAACAAAATCATGTCCTACATCGAAGCCGGCACAAAACAAGGGGCGCGATTGGTGACCGGAGGTTGTCGAATCGGGACGAAAGGCTACTTCATCCAACCCACTGTTTTTGCCGATGTGACTGACAATATGTCGATCGCGAGGGAGGAAATATTCGGTCCTGTTCAGTCGATTCTGAAGTTTGACACGGTAGACGAAGTGATTGATCGCATGAACAGTAGCGATTATGGACTTGGTGCCGGAGTCTTCACCAGTGATATAGACAAGGCTATGCGTATAGCTCAAGTTTGCGAGAGTGGAAGCTTCTGGTAAGTCCCTTATGCGTTTTGCTCTCCTACAACTTACTTGCTTGTCTGACTCCGTTCTCGGAAGAACTTGCATATGTGCCTGCGCTAGTCTTTAAATCACCGTTGGGACTCTCCTAAGTTTGACAATCTTGTAAAGTAAGGAGTTTGAACTTGTCTTTATGAATTCCACCGTTCTTCCCTGCTCGTTGACCCTGAATCAACGATTTGCCTTGTTGCGCTGTACCCAGCCGATGGGCCCTCAGCGCAACTTCGCTTCCTTTCTGGTGTTACAGTGTTGTGCATTTGGTTGTTTTTCTTTCAGGATCAATTCATACAACACGCTCGGACCGCAGGCTCCATTTGGCGGTTACAAGATGTCTGGTGTTGGAAGAGAATTGTAAGTTGGCTTGAATACAAAACCGTACATGTGTTTGACATGCTGCTGATATTTGCTACGGTACGTACTGTAGGCGGATTGAAGATCCAACGTTATTGTCGAGTTTTGGAGTACACATCATGTGTCTGGTTTGCAATACGCCATCTCTGTTGAGGCACCGAGTTGCGTTAAAGCAAACCACTGCCATTTCGATCACTGAGACCACATCGAAGTAGAGAGTTTCGGAGCTACCATTTCCCAACATCCAACTTTCTTGGGTAGCATGCATGCTATTTTGAAGCCAAGTGCAACCACTCAACTCTAGCGAGTCACGGAAAGCCATTTCGTCCCTCAGGAACTAGTCACTAGTGCACCTTCTGCTTATTAGGTGAAGCCTCTGAGCCGCAACCGTACGCTCTCAAGACAGAGGTTGCTCGGTTACTGCAATCGACTATCGTCATTGCAGTTGCCAATAAGTTGATGCTTTAGCCGATACACGAGTGATTTGCATTTGCACCTTCTCTTAGCATGGGGGCGGGTACAGGAGATGGACGGCACTGCTTCTACGTACCTCAGGCAAAGTGTCCCTGCAAGGGAAATTTTCGTGTCTTGTACCATCACTGGACATCAGCACAACGTGTAACAAGCTTTCAGAGAGCATCCCCTATGCGTGTCAGCAACGATATCTTTGTCGGCGATTACCTGCACGGTTAACTCCTGCTGCATTGTCTGCAAGCTACTCTGACAGACGATTGCGCGTCTGTCTCTCCGCCTACGCCCTCCAGCTCTGGCAATTGGCATAGGAAATGAAGGCGGCGCAAAAAGTACCCTTTAAGGCGTTCCAGCCATGGGACCTCTTCCACTTCTCGATACTCTATGCACATATGAGACGATCACTTGATTTAGTCGCCTGAGATGCGAGTTCTGCAGTGCTTTCAGATGCGAAAGATGTCAACCTTGAACACGACCATTACATAGCTCCATTTTACATGAAACTCTATTTACCCATTCCTTAGCCCACGCAGTGAGCTCACACCGGCTATTGCATGAAGAAGCCCTAGGATTTCTTGAAACAATCAATAAGGCTTTTGTGCTCTCTATTTCCGCTGACTGCTCATCGCAAATAACCACCATACTGTCGTCTCGACTTCCTTGTCCTTTGCGTTACACATGTATCACTTCGTCATAGCCTACTAACTGTCACATCAACATCAGCAGTACGCTGGTACGCAGTACCGACGCTTGGTTGCCCCGCAACTACCACCAGTCGCACTTGACCTAGGGACACTGTAAGAGTCGCCCTGACCCTGTGCAAGCTTGGGACCCTTGAGGCTAAGGGCCGGCGCTGTCGGTCCGGACTATTCTGCTAGATGGACTTCGGTATGGCACTATGGATCCCATTTGTGTATAGAGGAGAATCATAGAAACTGAATACCTCACTAACGGGCGCTGATCGATGAACCTGAAAATTCTTAACAGAACTGCCTTGCATATCGACGATTCGAGCAGTCATTTATTTCGACAATCCCGCCGTACAATTTGGTCGAACAATCCTTCACCCGTTCCTAAACTATAGTTATAAATGCCATGCCCTTATTTATTATCATTACGGTTATTACCCTCCTACCTCCCAGTTTATATTCTTCTTTACTCTATTGTTTGCTACGACTAGGTCCATCTCCGGACATAACGGATTGACGCTTACAACCTAGTAATTGAACCCAGGCAAAATGTATTGCCATAGACTCACTGGCAAGTAATAGAAGCGCTTGACCCAAAAAACCGCTTAATGGTACGGGCTAAATGGATCAAATGTCACTGTGACCAGCCACATTACGCCTGCGCCTACAGAGGGACCATAGGTGGCTTGCGCTGCACCACCCACAGCTCCAACCACACACCCCATATCCAGTGTAAACCCGAGGGAATAAGACCGGGTGTCATGTGGATGTGATCCACGTTCCATCAACGGAGCCGGCCCACACTCCTTCACAGGCAAACACAAGCACACTGTATTTGGGAATCAAGCGCACACAAGGCAGTGGTTGGACCCTAGTCCGCTCCACACTGAGTGCATGGAACCACTCTTCGAGCCTAACACAGCCACAAGGACCATGTACCCCGTCCCCTCCAGCAACAACCAACTGTCTCCTAGAGCCAGTATGGACGAGGTATTGTTTAATAGACAGGTAGGCACCTTGTCAACATGCACATCAAGCGCAGCCCCACCGGGGATATCGAACAACAGCCAATCACTTAAGAGAGAGATACAAAGAAAATAACTCGACTAATGCATAAGGGAACGGTGACATAAATCGTAAATTAATGAGCCAATCACTTGAGGGAAAACTAACGAAGAAAATAAATTGAGTGATGCATAAGGTAACGATGACTCAAATCTTAAATTAAAGAGCACATGAAATAGGTTGCTTACCAACCAATACGAGGTAAGTTCACGAGGTCAGGAAGTTTATTTTACGGAAATGCTACAAACACGAAAATGTTACCGAAAGAACTACATGTGACTTAGGCGACGTGTACAAGTGTATAGAAGAGAGTATAAGTAGGCATTTATATGGGAAACAAAAGCATCAGGACAAAATTTAAAACCCACCACCTGAAATAAAGAGATTTGGCATGCAAACATGCTGTTTGTAAATCGAATGCAGCGTACCTACAAACGCTGCGTCGGTTCCGCCTACGTTCTCTGCAGGACGCGTCGTCGCTTCGGTAGTGGTCCCGAGAGGCTTCGCTCATGGCTCACTAAGCCTGCCTGACTCAGGCACTCGCGACCGCATGTGCTACAGCACCATGCACTCGATGTCGATGGAGTACAACCCATCGGTGCTTGCCGCTTCAGCAATTGCCGCTTCTCTACATGTGTGAGGTCCTTTTTCTGCACATCGGCAACTGCCTTCGTGATTAGATCGCGCTATGCACGCCGATCAACGGCATTCGATTCCCATCACTTGCAGTCAAGATTAGAACGTGAGAGGCTCACTTTGATCATGCCCTGGTAACGTAACTTGGGTTTCCCCACATGCCGCTTCCCTATACTCAGTTGACCATATAAGAGTTGTTTCAGTATCCGCGTTGAATCCATACGGCTCTCATGACCGATCCACCTCAGGTGGATCAGTAAAAGTATGCAGTCCACTGCATACATCCCACTTTGTCGCAACACTTCCGTGTGTGCAACTCTAGCGTCCCAAATGATGCGCAAAATTCGTCGCAGACACTGCTGATGGAACCGCTCGAGATATCGCACATCCCGCCGGTACATCGTCCACGTTTCACTGCCGTATAGAAGAACGGACAGCACCATGGATTTGTATACCATCAGTTTCGTGCCAGTGTTAAGCTGACGACTGTTCCACACTCGGTACTCTGACTTCCCGAATGGCGCCGCTGGTTTCGGTACGCGGATACGCAGCTCACTGTGTATCTGCTGGTCAGTCGACATCACACTCCCAAGGTAGCAGAAGCGGGAGGTGGTTTCCAATACTTCAACACCAATGCTGATTCGCAGCGCGATTGTAGATTGCACCTCCGGTGAAGGCTGAAAGAGACAGACAGTTTTGTTTGTGTTGATGGTGAGCTCGAGTTTGGCCGCTGTCGAAGCCAGAGCACTAGTCATATGCCGCAACTCATCCGCGATGTGTGCAAACAACGCACAGTCGTCAGCAAACAGCAACCTACCGATAGTTGTCTCAGACTAGAGTTCTTGCACCGAAACGACGGATGTTCAGCAACCCACCATCAATACGGTGCTCCACACGAACACCGTAAGCACAAGCCGCATCAAAAGCACAAGACAACATTGCATGAAGATATATATTAAACAGGGCAGGAGCTAACACACAGCCTTGCTTCACACCAGAGACAACTGCAAAGTCATCCGAGGTCTCTCCACTCAGCTGCACCCTCGCCCGCATATCGCTGTGCAGACATTCAATTAAACTTACAAACTTACGCGGGAAACCAAACTTACCCAACACCAGCCACAATGCCTCGCAGTTCACCGTATCAAATGTCTTGGTGAAATCAACAAAAAGCGAGTACAATGACTGGTGTCATTCTCTACACTGCTCCTGCAACTGACGAGCTGCGAACATCATATCTATAGTGCTGCGACCCGAACGGAATCCACATTGCTCTTCCGCCACGTTCGGTTCCACAACCTGACTGACGAGGCGGTTGAGCAGGATTCAGGCAATCACCTTGCCCACACAACTCAGCAAGTTGATGTCACGATAATTCGTGCAACGTTGCTTGCTCCCTTTGCCCTTGTACAGTGGTAGCACAAGGGCATCCTTCAACTCAGGAGGTACCTTCTCCTCAATACATACGCGTTGCACCAAGTGATGCAGCGCGGTTTCGCCGTGTTTCAATACTACAGGCGCGATCCCGTCGGCCCCAGCACACTTGCCGTTTCGCAGCTGAGTAAGTGCCGTCTGCGTCTCATGCAGCCTCAGCGTGTCCGCCAGACTCGCCTTTACATCGTGCTGCTTCAGGCAGTTCAATGCATGCCAGTCGATCTCTGAACGATTGTTCAAGCGACAGTCAGAGTGATTTCGCCAGATCTGCGTTATGTCTGCAGTCTGGGTGCAGGTGGCGCCTGAACTACCATCGATCAGTATCCTCAGCGGCCCCAATCTCGGTCCACACACCACCGTCAAGGAGTCAAAGAATTCATTGTGTTGGCGGCGTTCGGCGTAGCATGCCATCTGCTTCGCCTTTTCCGTCCACCATGCATTTTTAATGCGACGGAGCTCTCGGGTCAGTCGCCGTCGAAGTTTGCGAAACTGACTCTTCTTGCCAAGTTACTGGGGTCTGTGACATGTGCAGCAAATGCTGCATTCTTCTCCGACACCAATGCGCCGATCGTCGCATTGTTGTCATCAAACCAATCAGGCCGCTTACAGTTTGCGTGCCCGATGTTCTCCTCGACAGCAGCTGTCACCTGGTCGCGAATGTGGTGCCACAGGTGGTCCACTGTGGCTATGCCTTCCACATCACAC